ACATTAACATTATGCTTAACGAAATCATACCCTAATTCAGCGAAGTGGTGTATAGCTGGTGCTGTGATGACATCGTATAAAGTCTCTCTCCTCCTAGCCTCGATTAGCTCACAAGTGGCAAGGAGTCGTTCAACTTCCATAGATTGTAAGGCTCGACATTCCGGTACGCAATGAGAAAATCTGTGATTTCCGTGGATAGAAACATATCGAAAAAACGCCTGCGAGTGCATACCTACTAGAATCATCCAGAAGAGTCTGGATGATTGGTGTGAGAAGAGGGCCAAAAAGCACCACAGGCCTTCGTTTCGAAGATGACACTCGCTCTACGCGTTCATAGATCGGCCGCGTAAGTGTCATGCGATTCTGAATTACCAGTTCTCCATTTGTTAGATTTCTTGGTATTTTCTCTTACCTTAGCCTTCTTTCCTCTCACGTCGCTCCGCTCCATTTGAGTTGCTGATGGGATAATTCCATTTTCTCTTTGTCGACCTTCCCTGTCCACCTTCCATGCTCTCCACTTTCCTCGTTGTCCCATGAACATTGTATTATCAACAAACACTATTTCTCCCTGAAAACAGTAGATGTTTTGGCATGGGTTGACGACGATATACTTGAAAATAAGGTCTGTTTATGCAATATACCGCTTTGATGTCAAGCTCATCCTTATTCTCGCTGCCTCTATCTACGTTGATCCTGACGTAGAAGGAGTCGCCATCAGCACCAAGTCGTAACCGATTCAAGCGATCTCCGCCTTAGTGTGCAGTTGACTAATATATTACAGTATATAATAATATATATATGAAATTTCAGAAGCTCCTTCTTGATGGGTACAAACAGTTATTCCTATGGATAACGATAACGAAATTGAGAAGTGGAGTAATTCAAGATTTTCAGTGTTTCTTATTCTTATGGAACGTCTCATTAGCATTACGATTACGATATATCATCTACTCAGGATACAGATTTAAAAGGCAAGTCAAGAAACTTTAAACAAGAAGATTACGGAATTTTTGTAGCCCGACATACCATCCTCGACGTGTAGCTCAGCCATTTCTGATAAACTTTCGAGAAGAGCCTCGGTGGCTTCTTCGAGAGTTGCCCCGCGAACATTGTACCCATCTATTTCTAGTATCAGATCTCCTTCCTGAAAAAGACT